GAGAGCAGGGTCCAAGGTCAGAGCCAGGGCGGATCCTAACGACCCTGACCCGGCCATCGCTAAAGCTCGCCCTTCTGCGGATGTTTAAGTCTCTGGGCCAATCACATCCCATTTTGCTACACCCAGATGGAATCAGATTATTTACTCTGAACCGAAAGATTCCTGGCTCATCAAATTGCCCAAGCAGCCCTGATTTGGAGGATAAATTCAGGAAAGAGGCAGGCAGGCCCTCTACTCCATCTACCAATCTGATACTGTGCTGTATACATAACACAAAAATTGTCCCCTAGCTCCAACTGGTGTGGCTCAGTGGATAGAGCGTCGGCCTGTGGACTGAAAGGTCCCGGGTTCGATTCCAGTCAAGGGCATGTGCCCGAGTTGTGGGCTTGACACCCAGTAGGAGGCGTGCAGGAGGCAGCCGATCATGGTTCTTTCTCATCATTGATGTTTCTATCTCTCTCTCCCTCGACCTTCCTCTCTGAAATCAATAAAAAATATATCTATACTAATAAAAGGACAATACACTAATTAGACCAAATGTGCCTACAGACAAAGTCACGGTGGCGGGGACTGAGGCAGAAGCGGTTAGGGGCGACTCTGAAATCAATAAAAATATATCTATACTAATAAAAGGACACTATAATAATTAGACCAAATGTGCCTACAGACAAAGCCACGGTGGCGGGGACTGAGGCAGAAATGGTTAGGGGCAACCAGGCTGGCAGGGGAGAGTGGTTAGGGGCGATCAGGCCAGCAGGCAGGCGAGCAGTTAGAAGCCAGCAGTCTTGGACTGTGAGAGGGATGTCCCGGATTGGAGAAGGTGCAGGCCGGGCTGAGGGACCGCCTCCCCCGCCCCCGTGCACAAATTTCATGCACTGGGCCTCTAGTATATATTTAAAATAAATAAATAAAAATAGTGCCCTAGCTGGGTAGCTCAGTTGGTTAGAGCATCGTCCTCATATCCCAAGGTTGTGGGCTCAGTCCCCGGCCAGGGCACAGACAAGCATCAACCAATGAATGTACGAATAAGTGGGACAACAAATTCTCTCCAATCAATTCTTTTTTTAAATTGTAACAGAAAAACACCGCGTGTGAAACTTGCGCTTAGGAACTTATCGCTCCAAAGCTCGCTCTTTTTTCTAGGCCATGCTAATGTGAGCAGACCAGGAAGATAAATGGGCTACATAAGCTACACCGGTGACAATCAGCTCTAATCAGCTTGTCCCCAACACACAAAGCCGGATTTATGCTTTAGCACCGGAGCCGCCACAGTCCGAGCTGCTGACGCCAGGAAAAATCCTCGGGCAGAGTGGGATCCTGGGAGATAAGAGCGCGCAGAGGCCGCCTACTGCAATGCTCCCATAACAGCGAGAGGGCCAGCTCCCAGGCTGCAATCAAAAGAAATGACAGGGAGAGCCCACTGTCCCTCTGCTTATCCGCAAAGAGACGCAGGGGTGAGAAAGTGACCTGTCCCGGGCGGTTAATGCTGTGGAGGAGGAGCAACCAGGCTTTTCTAATCGGCTCAAGCACTGGGCTTCTCCATTATATTCTGTCTATTTTCACTTGGCACTTGCATCTGACAGATGTTGAAGGTGGGGATGCTTATTCTATTTACATATTCTTCTGTCTCCCCAGCGACAGCTGGGCCCTTGGAAGGCCTGGACGTTCTCTTTCCCGAGCTAACACAGTGTCTGTGCAAAGCGGATGCTCAGAAATGTTTGCTGGAAATTATCAGAATGTTACACACTCGACAGGCAATGAGCTAACTGCATAATGAATAATTCCCCTTTCCTTGCTTAAAATTAGTAACAGTTACCATTCACTGAATAGCTCATAGGTGCCAAGCAATGTGCTAAAAGCTGTAGGTGAATGCCTGAGCTCACCTGTTCAGACTGGGTTCATCTCACCCGGAAGTGTGACTAAACTGAGAGGGAAGATCCTGTTTCCTCCTTCCTCTTCCCACTGCTGTCCTTCACCCGAAACAGGACATGTACAGGGAGGGGGAGGGTGACCCGTTGTAGCTCAACCTCAGGAATGCATTCTAGAAGGGGCAGCACTGACTGGCGGGGGAAATGAGCTGCCCCTGGAGGACTCTGGGTAGACTTTCCGTTAGCAGGGACGGTTGGAGGTGATGCAGGGGCCGGGGTGGACCTGTTAATATATAATCCACCAGGACTGGGGAAGTACCCCTGGCTCCACCCGAAGGCCTGCAAGTCGGGGGAAAGGGTGCAGTTGGCATGAGCAGTGTGAGCGCCTACAACTCCATCTTTCCTTATTTATAAGGAAACTAGAGCCCCGGTGCACGAATTCGTGCACGGGTGGGTTCCCTCTGGGTGGCCTGCAGGGATCGGGCCGAAACCCGCAGTCCAACGCCGCCTGCAGCTCCTACCTGCCGCTCCCGCTCATCCCGGCCCCACTGTGCCTGCCGCGGGCTTGCGCCCAATCAGTCCCGATCGGGAGAGGCTCGCGCGGTCACAGCAGCTCTCGCCAGCAATGAGCCCTGAGTCTGGCACCCTCCCAAGTGGAGTGGCCTGCGGGATCTGGCTGAAACCGGCTCTCCAATATCCCCCGAGGGGTCCTGGATTGCGAGAGGGTGCAGGCCAGGCTGAGGGACTCCACTAGTGTGTGATTGGGCCAGGGAGGGACAGCAGGAGGGCCCCGGGTCATGTCCAGCCCATCTCACTCAGTCCCGATAGCCGGACCCCAGCAGCAAAAGCTAACCTCCTGGTCGGAGCATCTGCCCCCTGGTGGTCAGTGCACGTCATAGCGAGCAGTTGAGCAGCCTTAGCATATCATTAACATATTACGCTTTGATTGGCTTTTCGGTTGCTCTGCCATTTGGTCTATTTGCACATTACCCTTTTATTATATAAGATGCCTACCTCATTCTCTTCAAATGTCTGCAACCTTGCTTCTTGGAAACACAGAAGAGCTGTGTTACGGTGGCGTGCACCTGGTCTACGGATGCAGGACACAGAGTGCACCTTTGGTACCTAAACATCTGGCAAAGTACAAGACTGGGTAACAGAAGTTCTAGTAGCAAAGGCAGTAGCCCCCCACTCCTGTGAGCCCGGGACCCCGTTCCTTGCCACCCCGAGAGATGACGGATTTTGTAGGTTATGGTGTCACACTGGGAGGGGGATAAAGCTGTGCTGGGGGTTCTTTGCAAGCACTTAAATCTTAGCCCCAATATCCGCCTCTGAGGCAGGTTTGAGGTGCTGCATCACACAACGGTCCTCTTAGCTGTGCTTGCTCTCAGCTCTGCGACTGCTCAGTAATTAAATCGCCCAAGCAGCTGCTGGCCAGGGAACAGCACGTGTAAAGGCCCAGCAGCAGAGAAGGCAAAGGGGGGCGGGGAAATGGGAGACGTTCAGAGTGGCTGGAAGTGGGGGAGCAGAGAAATGTCAAACTAGAAAAATAAGCAGGACCCAACCGGAACAGCCTGGTGAAGGCCGGCAGGAAGTCACTGAAAGGCTTCCACAGGGGAGGGCGGGGTCAGGTGTGTGCGTTAGAAATCTTGTCTCCATTACGGTGCAGATAATGGATGGAGAGGAAGGCGAGGAGGCAAGACCTGGGAAGGAAGGGCACTTAGGAGGCTGCGGCCATAGCCAGACAAGAGAAGCTGGCGGCTGATGGCAGTAGCAGCAGTGGGGTGGGCAGGAGTGGACGGGTTCAGTAAATAATCGGGAGATAAAATCATCAGGACTTCCCTGGCCGGTGTGGCTCAGTGGATAGAGCGTCGGCCTGCTGACTGAAGGGTCCCGGGTTTGATTCCGGTCAAGGGCACGTGCCCGGGTTGTGGGCTCAATCCCCAATAGGGGGCATGCAAGAGGCAGCTGATCAATGATTCTCTCTCATCATTGATGTTTCTGTCTCTCTCTCCCTCTTCATTCCTCTCTGAAATAAATAAAAATATATTTTAAAAAATAATAACATAAAATCATCAGGACTTGGCAGCAGACCACATGGGGGGCATGAGAGAGAGGAGTCGGTGATGATCTCCAGGTTTCTGGCCCGGTCAGCTGGGTGGCGGTGCTACCACACACTAAGAGAGACACACGAGTAGGGTTCAGGGGGACATGATTCCGTTTGGAACATGCTGTATCTGAGATGCCCACAGAGCATCCAGGTAGAGATGTCCAGAAGGGAACGGACAGGTCTGAACGGGAGACCTAAAAGCTTGTTAGCATGAATGAGAATGTGATCATTACTATACAGACCAGAATTGAAGCCACGGGAAATAATAAAACTATTCAGGGGAGCCCTAGCAGGTTGAGCTCAGTGGACAGAGCACTGGCCCCTGGTCTGAAGGTCCCGGGTTCGATTCCGGTCAAGGACATGTACCTCAATCCCGGCTCCCACCCCAGCCCTGGTAGGGGCTCGTGTGGGAGACAAACAATCAATGTCTCTCTCTCACACTGATGTTTCTCTCTCTGTCTCTTCCCCTCCCTTCTACTCTCTCTAAAAATCAATGGGAAAAAAATACCCTTGGGTGAGGATTAGCGACAACAAAAAATTATTTGGGGAAAATGTGTAACTCAACCTGTAAGGTTAGGGCAAGAGTTTTTTTTAAAATATATTTTATTGATTTTTTATGGAGAAGAAGGGAGAGGGATAGAGAGTCAGAAACATCAATCAGCTGCCTCCTGCACACTCCCTACTGGGGATGTGCCCGCAACCAAGGTACATGCCCTTGACCGGAATTGAACCTGGGACCCTTCAGTCTGCAGGCCGATGCTCTATCCACTGAGCCACACCGGCCAGGGCAGGGCAAGAGTTTTAATACCTTACTAGCTTATTATTATAGCTGACTCTCACGGCTTACAGAGGGCACCCCAAGTCAGGCAATGTGGGTGTCGTGGGATACAAGTAGAACACAAATTTGTACCGACAGGGAAAGCGACCCCCAAAGACCCAAACATGACCCGCGGCTCAGAGGTCTAAGAACTCATCACAGTCTCCCAGCACCTAGCATGTCAATCCTGGTACCGCGTGCTCACCTGTCGACAAGGCCTCCTCCCGAGCCTCGTCCTCACCGGGCTGATGAATATTCCAGGATGTTTTAGGAAGCAAAGCAATCTCCTCAGGCGATGCCAACCTCACCATGTCCATGTGATTGCTCTGGAACCGGTACCGGGGGATAAAGCAGGTCTTGCCGCGGCGGAAGATGTCCTTGATGATCTCGTCGGTCTCGATTTCGTCTTGCATGCTCAGGAAGATGGAGATTCTCTGGGACTTCTGATACTGACTGTGGGCGATCACCTGCGTGGGAAACGAAGGCCTTGGTATTTGCCAAGATTACACTTTTAAAAATCAGTGACTCCCCTTAACAATTTCAACATTTTCTCCCATGTTCTTCAACTTCTTTCTTTTTTTTAAATATATTTTATTGATTTTTTACAGGGAGGAAGGGAGAGGGATAGAGAGCCAGAAACATTGATGAGAGAGAAACATTGATCAGCTGCCTTCTGCACACCCTCTACTGGGGATGTGCCTACAACCAAGGTACATGCCCTTGACCGGAATCGAACTGGGGACCCTTCAGTCCAAAGGCCGGCACTCTATCCCCTGAGCCACACCAGTTAGGGCTTCTTCAACTTCTTTATCCAAAAACAAAAAAAAAACAAAAGCAGAGCGCTACAGTGGGGTCCTGAACCCTAAATTTTGGCTCTTAACCCAACACTTACTTGTCTTATCTCTTTACACATCTCTGGCTCACCTACTTTTGTAGGTATGAAAACTCATTATAAAGTCACTGTGGGGCCTGGCTGGTGTGGCTCAGTGGTTGAGCATCAACCTATGAACCAGGAGGTCACAGCTGATTCCTGGTCAAGTGCACATGCCTGGGTTGCCAGCTTGATCCCCTGTGGGGGGGCCTGCAGGAGGCATCCAATCAATGATTCTCTCTCATCACTGATGTTTCTCTCTCTCTCTCCCTCTCCCTCTCTGAAATCAATAGAAGTATTGATTAAAAAATAATAAAAATAAGTCACCGTGGGACCCTGCTGTTCATTGAGAGAACTCCAGGCTGGATCTCCGCCGACCCATTCTTCTCGCACACTTGCCCTCGAGTCTTTGCATCATTTTAACCCCAAACCTTGGCTCCCACAACTTCTTCACCCTGTGCCTTGTCGGGTTTCGCTCCTAAATTCTCCCCATTTATTTTTTTTAAATACATTTTTATTGACTTCAGGGAGGAAGGGAGAGGGAAGGGGAGAGATAGAAACATTCATGATGAGAGAGAATCACTGATTGGCTGCCTCTTGCATGCCCCCTGCTGGGGATCGAGCCCGCAACCCAGGCATGTGCCCCTGACAGGAATTGAACCCGGGAGCTTTCAGTCAGCAGGCTGACGCTGAAGCCACTGAGCCAAACCAGCTAGGGCTAAATTCTCCCCATTTAAGCCCAACCCAAGCCCTAACCTTTCCTGACTTCTGTCAAGCCCTTCCACCTACAGGTAACATGTGCTTTTCACACGCTTGCATTGTCAGGAGCTGATGACTAACTGCTTCCTGTGCCCTCGCTGTAGGATTCTAACCGGTCTGCCAGCTCCCAGGAGGCAGGGGACGTGCCTTATAATCCCCTCAGCTCTCACTTCCTTCCTGTTTCCGAAAACTCTTCTGTTCAAACGAACGTGAAAAATGTTCCCCGAGATGGGGGTGGGGCTTCCGGGAGAGGCAAAGTCCCTCTATAAGCAAGTGCCACGTTCATGAGAAGGCAGACACGGGTGGGAGAATTCCCTCCATATTCAGTTTATTTATTTTTAAATATATTTTATTGATTTTTTACAGAGAGGAGGGGAGAGGGATAGAGAGCTAGAAACATCGATGAGAGAGAAACACCGATCAGCTGCCTCCTGCACACCCCCCACTGGGGATGTGCCCGCAACAAAGGTACATGTCCTTGACCAGAATCGAACCTGGGACCCTTCAGTCCGCAGGCCGATGCTCTATCCACTGAGCCACACCAGCTAGGGCCTCCATATTCAGTTTAATTGTTCATCGGGCAGAGGAGAAGGGGGCTGAGCTCTGCTTCACGGAAAAGTTAATCTCAGGCCCTAACCGGTGTGGCTCAGTGGATAGAACATCGGCCTGCGAACTGAAGGGTCCCGGGTTCGATTCTGGTCAAGGACATGTACCTTTGTTGCGGGCACATCCCCAGTAGGAGGGGTGCAGGAGGCAGCTGATCGATGTTTCTCACTCTCTATCCCTCTCCCTTCCTCTCTGTAAAAAAATCAATAAAATATATATATTTTTAAAAAGTTAATCTCAGAACTTCCCCAGACTCAGAGGTAGCTCTTAGCTCCCTTTCTTTCCCTCCCTTTTCTGTTCTCCCTTGTTCTGCAAGCTAAGGAGAAAAAGACACCCCAAACATGGCTTATAGGGATGACTGGTAGCAAGACACGGGTTCAGAAAGGCAAGTTTTCCTGATAAAAGGGGGACACAGAGAAGTTGAATAAGCAGAGCACCCCAAACCATGGCTAAGGAAGGAAATCAACTCCATCGTCTGAGAAGCTACAAAGCTTTTAGGCTGAAACAGGCAAAGCAGCCGTAAAAGAAATTCAGACCCAGGACAGCAGACTGGGAGGCTGTGGCACCCAGGAACCACCCGAGAAAGTTACGCGCCTTTTTTGTGCTCTTAAAGGCAAATGGAGAAAATCAAGAGCTGAATATGTAGTCATGAACATCAGTTAAAATTCAGTGGGAGCTCTGGCCTGTGTGGGTCAGTGGATAGAGCGTCGGCCTGCAGACTGAAGGGTCCCGGGTTCGATTCCTGGTCAGGGCACATGCCCGGGTTGTGGGCTCGATCTCCACTAGAGGGCGTGCAGGAGGCAGCCGGTCTGTGATTTGCTCTCATCATGGATGTTTCTCTCTCCTTCTCCCCTCCTCTCTGAAATCAATAAAAGTATATTAAAAAAAAAAGAAATTCTTATGGCCTATCTAATTCCAGGGGACATCCAGGAAAAGAACACCCCTGCTAGTCTCTCAGCATGGCACTGGTGTCTCCGTCAGACAGGATGTTCGGGCAGTCACACTATTGCTTTACCTGAAAACAAACCTACTGAACTATGAATGGTGCCAGGTGGGTTCTAGACTTATGGGGTGAGCCCTTCACAAGTCATATAACGTCTATATAAACTGTGTTGTACACCTGCAACGAATATAATAAACTAGTGGCCCGGTGCACGAATTCATGCTCATTGAAAAGAAATTAATTGGAAGAAATATTTTAATACTAGAGGCCCAGTGCATGAAAATTCGTGCACTCAGGGGGGTCTCTCAGCCCAGCCTGCACCCTCTCACAGTCGGGGACCCCTCGGGGGATGTCCACCTGCTGGCTTAGGCCCGCTCCCTGGGGGATCGAGCCTAAGCTGGCAGTCAGACATCCCTCTGGCAGCCCGGGAGCCCTCCTCCTTAGTGCTGCAGAGGAGGCGGGAGAGGCTCCCACCATTGCCGCTGGGCTTGCCAGCCGTGAGCCGGCTTCTGGCTCAGCGGCGCTCCCCCTGTGGAATCACACTGACCACCAGGGGGCAGTTCCTGCATTGAGCATCTGCCCCCTGATGGTCAGTGCGCATCATAGAGGCCAGTCATTCTGCTGTTAGGGCCAATTTGCATATTAGCCTTTTATTATACAACTAGAGGCCCAGTGCACAAAAATTTGTGCACTCGGGGGGCGGGGGGAGGGGGGGTCCCCCAGTCCGGCCTGTGCCCTCTCGCAGTCTGGGACCCCTCGGCAGATAACGACCTGCTGGCTTAGGCCTGCTCCCGGGTGGCAGAGGGCAGGCCCAATCCCTAAGTGCAGCCCCTGGTCAGGCTCAAAGCAGGGCCGATTGGGGAGTTGGGGCGCCGCCCCGTCATGCACAGAGCAGGGCGGATCGGGAGGTTGCAATGCCACCCTCAGTCACGCTCAGGGTAGGGCCGACTGGGGGGTTGGGGCACTGCCCCCTGTCACACTCAAGGCAGGGTCGATGGGGAGGTTGCAGCACCACCCCCTGTCACACACAGAGCAGG